TCACTCACTCACTCACTCACTCACTCACTCACTCACTCACTCACTCACTCACTCACTCACTCACTCACTCACTCACTCACTCACTCACTCACAGCCCATATTTTTGTCAATAGACCCCACAATGCAGCCACAGCATCCATATAATCCCCTAAAACTGCATATTACGAGAATGCATACCCAAACAAGTAGCAGAAAAAAATAAACCCACTTTTATTAAAATGAAATAAGAAAATAAAGGCTGGTGTGGCAGGAAATCTACTAATGAGGAATCATGAGGAGAACACAAGAAGGTACTATAACTGGACTGTGGCATATAAATTAAAAAATGCAATGCCGATGGATGAAAAGAACAGGCTTGCTGGATTTTCTCATGTGCTGTGTGTTTGAGAGTATTTCATCTACAGTATGTACACAGTAAAAATGCATAACATTGGTAAGGAGAGATTACAGTGCAAGCTTTTTAAAATTACATTACAAGAGTTTGAATATGTGTGACTGATTAAATGTAAACAACTAACCAAAACCAAGGGTTTGTGTGCAAAGATGTTGAGCAAATACTTGGCCCCTTTATGAATATTGTGGCTCCTTGATGGCCCCCAATAAGAAAAAAACCTAGATCTGTCACTCACTCACTCACTCACTCCATCCATCCATCCATCCATCCATCCATCCATCCATCCATCCATCCATCCATCCATCCATCCATCCGAAAAGAATAAATAATAGGTAGTTATAAAACTGATATATTAGCCGTATTTTATACAGAGAGGGGCATTAAAAATTAAGTAATTGTTGATCAATGTTTTACCTTGATTAATTTTAAGCACTTTGTCAGACACATGTCAGTCCTTACCTTAACGTGTAAAGTATCTTCCCATCATTCCATATCCTGAGCAGCTGGTTAGGCATCGTAATCCAATGAGAATCTGCGGTCTTGGAGTTTCTGAAGATGGTGTCTGGCAGCCAAATTAGTCCAAYCATGTTGCTGTTTAAAGTCAGTATTTTCATTGTGCTGTTATATCTGAGGCGGCTGTCTGTCCATGTCTGGGCAAAAATGATATCAATTTGGTACTCCTAAAAAAGAAAATAATAATAATAAAGTTAGTAGATAGCCAGCACAGAGTAATTTATTGTCATTTCATTTGGGAAATCTCACAATTTTTGTTTGTTAGGAATTTTAAAAACAGGTCATTTTTATCTGCTATTTAGAATATATTGCTTTCCCTCTCAAATTACTCTAAATATGAGGGTTCAGTGACTGAGAAACATTTCCCTATGCCATTTATTATTCATCACTTTCGTTTAAAGTGGCATTGATCTTTGTTGCCTCACCTCATATTTTGCAAAAAAAAAACAGCTCTTGATTTTTTTTTACATTTGTTTACTAAAGAGTTAAAAGAATAAACAGAACATGAAATGTGAAAAAAAAACTTGCTGTGACACGATTAAATGTTTTTGCTCTTCTTTATTAAAGTAAACTGTTCTTCAGTCTGAATGGTAATGGTAGCAGAACAGGTTTGATAACAAACAGTGATGAAGGCAATTCAGTGCTACAAACACAGGCGCATGCTCAGTGGAGCAGATGGAACAGGAAATCCCCACATTTTTGTAAACGTGTGTTTCAACTTCCACTTTTCCTGACATAAATAACAAGTCATTACTCCCAGCAACAGCATCAAATCATGTAGCATTTGTGTTTAGCAAATTGTTTGTTAGTTATAAACTAAAACTTATTAATAAAGGAAACCAAATAAATTAAGTACCAGAACCCATTATCTCACTTTGGGAGCAACCTTTTATTCTGCCTGTGAATGAGAGAATAAAATAAAAACACTGATGTCAGGCTACAGATGCTCAAGATCCAAAAGTCTATAAAAAGAGAAAATATACAGAAATCACAATTTTGAGAAAATAGGTGAATTTTTTACAATCTCGCAGAATTTTAAGTGTTTGCAACCAAACGACAACAAAAAATGTGACAAACAGTAGTAGTGTAGTGCAAGGGTTCTTAACCTTTTTGACCTCGGGGCCAAATTTGTTCAACATAAAGTGACACGAGGCCCAGTCACACATTACCATACGGATCAAAATGATAACTATTCTAAATCTTGGTTTAAAATTATAATTATTCAAAATCTTGGTTTAATTTGTATTATATTTGCATTATAACTAAATAAAATACACTTACAGTTTAAACGTAAAACTCCTGTCAAATAATCACAAGACATGATTGTAGCAAACAGTTTTATATTGTAACCTGCCCATAACAATTATTTGAACAAATACAAAGGTCCGTCAACAGACCACTCAGGCTTATCAACATAAAAATAAAATGTTTTTTACATAAACAACAACAAAAATAGACAATTCAATAAATAAATAAAATTGTGATCATAAAATAAATACATTCAAAAATATTTACTGTAAATG